TATGTTCTCTAGCTAGTTAAAAAGTAATTAAGCTTAATTTTGAGTGCTTTTTTGGTGTTAAAGAAAGAAAGCTTAACTTAGAATAACCCAGTTTCTTACTTTGTCAAGTAAAAGCAGCAAGACAAGAATTGTTTCCGAAGAAACACAAACAAACAAACAAAAGCATTCTCAACACTTAGATTAGTTCTTGAGATACTTCTTGAGAACATCCATAACTGAACCAAACTCTGCCTTGGCCAATCTACAAGCCATACATTATTTTATAAATTCAAAATTGATTTAAAGTATATTTAAGTAATTTCTTATAAATTATTAAATTTTATAATCGAAAGCAGAAATTTTATTATTTCCATACCAGCTGTAGTTTGGTGACAATTCCGTCGTTTGACTTTCTGGTTTTTTTTGGAAGAGATGTTGAAAATTCTGCATCCTCCTCCTCTACAGTTTCTTGCTTCTTTGAAAAATCTTCCAAGAAAGGTCAGGTTTTGTTTCTTAATTCTCTCTTAGAAGATTGAAGTTTCACTCTTCGAATTCTGATGAATTAGTTTATTAAACTAACTTACTTGTTGTTGTTGATGCAGACTTGATGATTGGAAATGAGAAGTTTAAAGAAAGTTTACAAGCAGATGAAAACACTTGAAAGTTGGAGAAAGATTGTTTTATTAGTTTGTGTGGTTGCTTTGGGAGTTGATCCTCTGTTTTTATTTATCCCTTTGATTGATTCTCAAAGATCCTGCTTCGCTTTCGACAAGAAGCTCGGAATAACAGTCTCTGTTCTTCGTACTTTTATCGACACATTCTATGTGATTCACATCATTTTTCATCTTATAACCGAACTGATTGCTCCTCGTTCTCAAGTCTCTTTACGAGGCGAGTTAATCTTGCATTCTAAAGCTATAAAGAAAAGAAACATAATCTTTTACTTCGTTATCGACATTTTCTCTGTACTTCCCATTCCTCAGGTGTGTTTATTCTCTCTGTTCACTTTCTTAATTTGTAACACTGATTTTTCTTATTGTGACATTCTATAGACAATTTTGTGTAGGTTGTGATTCTCATTCTCATTCATCGGTCTGATTCGCTAGTGTCGAAGGAGATACTGAAATGGATTATACTTTCTCAATACATACCGAGAATCATTCGTATGTATCCGCTTTCCGAAGAAGTTACACGAGCTTCTGGTACGGTAGCTGAAACAAAATGGATTGGAGCTGCTTTTAACCTTTTCCTCTACATGCTTCACAGTTATGTAAAGTCTTTTGCTCTGTTCTCTCACACACACTTGTATTGTGTTTGTTTATTACAAGAATTGTTACAATTTTGATATGATGGTGTTAGGTGTTTGGGGCTTTTTGGTACGTGAGTGCGGTAGAAAAGAAGAACAAATGCTGGCGTCAAGTTTGTGTTAAGATATTAGGATGCAATCTGAAGAATCAGTATTGTAGTAGACGAGGCGGTGTAGACAACAGTCGTTATCTAAACACTACATGTCCATTAATTGAACCACACCAAATCACAAACTCCACAGTTTTCAACTTTGGTATGTATATTGATGCATTGAAGTCAGGTATAGTAGAGGTAGAGCCTAAAGATTTTCCAAGGAAGTTCTTTTATTGCTTTTGGTGGGGTCTTCGAAATCTTAGGTTTGTATACATTTCAACTCTCTGAATGTGAGATCTAACCTTGAAGATCTTAGCTTTTAACCAACTCTTTGAAACAGTGCTTTAGGACAAAACTTGGAGACAAGTAACTCTGTAGGAGACATTGTTTTTGCAATCATCATATGCGTTTCTGGTTTACTCTTGTTTGCTGTGCTCATTGGAAACGTTCAGGTAATACTTATACTTGTACGTACCTCAAGAAAAATAGATTTCTTGATCTTTGTGTAAAAGCTAATTCTTTTGATTGATAAACAGAAGTATTTGCAATCAACTACGATTAGAGTAGATGAAATGGAGGAGAAAAAGAGAGACACCGAAAAATGGATGTCTTATCGGATGCTACCAAGGTATCTTAAAGAACGCATTAGGAGATACGAGGATTACAAATGGCGAGAAACACGAGGTATCGAAGAGGAAGCTTTTCTTCGTAGCCTTCCAAAAGACCTTAGACTCGAAACCAAACATCATCTTTACAAGGATCTGTTAAACCGTGTAAGGATCTCTTTTTGTGATTGATTGTTTGAGGTTCACTTAGATATAGTAGTTAACATTTTTAGGTTTTTTCAGGTTCCTTGGCTCAACATTATGGATGATAGTTGGCTACTAGAAGCATTGTGTGACCGAGTGAAGTCTGTGATCTACACGGCGAATAGCTATATAGTGAGAGAAGGCGACCCGATTGAGGAAATGTTGATTGTAACGAAAGGCAATCTGAAAAGTATGACTGGCTACTATGATTCATCTAACCTCCAAGCAGGTGACATATGTGGAGATCTTCTCTTTTGGATTCTTGATCCGCATTCTTCTTCTCGCCTCCCTACTTCAAACAGAACAATAGTGACTCTGACCGATGTTGAAGGCTTCATTCTTTTGCCTGATGATCTCAAGTTTGTTGCTTCTCATTTCAATCGCTTTCATAGCAAGAAACTCAAACACATGTTCAGGCAAGGCTTCAAAACCAAAAATAGCATTTGAGGTTTTTAACTTGTCTTTTACTACCTTAAACACTCAAATTCCTTTCTTCTTTCAGGTTCTATTCGACAAATTGGCGATCATGGGCGGCATTTTTCATACAAGCAGCATGGAGAGAACATTGCAAGATAAAGTGTTCTAAGATCTTACTTACAAAAAGAGACAACAATAAGCAAATCCTACAAGGGACAAAACTCAATCTTGGAGCAACTCTACATGTGTCGAGATTTGTCTCCAAAGCATTGCGAAATGGACGAGAAAATGCAGTAGGTTCTTCAAGCTCTTCACACATGTTACCTCCACTACCACACAAACCAGCTGATCCTGAGTTTGCAAACGTTGAATCATAATGTTTATAATTAAAAGGAGATGACATAGAGAAAGTGTGAAGATTCATCTATATTACAAGTCCTCACCACTTGTAAAACGATCAGTTGCAAAAGCCTCGTCGGCAACATGTAGACTACATGTTTTTAATTATCAGTCACCAGTGACATGATGTAGTCCAAGTCACTGGTTTCCGGCTTCCCTGCAACTAAAATGTGAAACAACCCAAAATTTCAGACAAAAACCCTTAAGCCACTGGTGACAAAAACGCTCGTCGGCTTCCCAGCACCAGTGACATGATTTACTCAATCTCTTAGATTTTGCACAACCAAACTTAAGCCAGACTTGTCGGAAATGGTACATCAAAGATTTTTTTTTTTTTTTTGGGGTCAAATGTACATCAAACACCACTTCGATTTGACAAAACTAGAGAGTTGTATATAACTTGTAATAGGGGCAATTGAAAGCTATGAGTCTTCACTTTTTCTCTCTGTCGTTATCCTTATAGTTATACATTATGATTCATTCATCCTTGGAAAACTCGGGATCAGCTGGTTTTTGAGGTAACATATGTGGAGAGCTTGAACAACCTGCTGCATTTTCCTTTCGATTTCGCAATGGTTTGGAGACAAATCTCGACACATCTCCAAGGTTGTTGAGTTGTGTGCCTTGTGGAATTTGCGTATTGTCTCGATCTGTATGTAAGATCTTAGAAAGCTTTCGTTTGCAATGTTTCCTCCATGCTGCTTGTATGAAGCATGTCGCCCATGTTCGCCATTGCTGTGAATAGAACCTGAAGAAATGGATGGTTGGCAATGGCATTATTACCCCCAAAAGAAAAAAGGAATTTTGAATCTCGAGGTACGTATTAAAGAAGCCTTGCCTGAAAATGTGTTTGAACTTCTTGTTATCAGAGCTATTGATATAAGAAGCTACAAACTTGAAATCATCAGGCAAGAGAACAAAGCCTTCGACATCGGTCAGGGTCACTATTGTTCTGTTTGAAGTAGGGAGGCGAGAAGAAAGATGTGGATCAAGAACCCAATTTAGAAGATCACCACATATATCACCTGGTCCGAGGTAAAATGAATCGTAGTAGCCATTTATTTCACTAAATCCGGTCACACTTTCCAGTTTGCCTCTCGTTACAATCAGCATTTCCTCGACCGGGGCACCCTCTTTCACTATGAAACTATTCGCCGAGTAGAACACATAATTCACGCGGTCGCACAATGCTTCTAGTAGCCAACCATCACCCATGATGCTGACCCAAGGAACCTGAGACAAGTCAAATATATAGTTATATCAAAGATAAACAGATGAGTCAGTCAGTCAATCACTAAGAAAAAGAGAGCTTACACGCTTTAGCATATTCTTGTAAAGATGGTGCTTGGTCTCGAGTCTGAGGTCTTTTGGAAGGCTACGAAGAAGAGCCTCCTCTTCTTCGATGCCTCTTGTTTCTCGCCATTTGTAATCCTCGTATGTCCTAATACGATCTTTTAGATACTCTGGTAGCATCCGATAGGACATCCATTTTTCTGCGTCTCTCTTGTTAAGATGGTGTTTGGTTTCGAGTCTGAGGTCTTTTGGAAGGCTACGAAGAAAAGCTTCCTCTTCGATACCTCGTGTTTCTCGCCATTTGTTATCCTCGTATCTCCTAATGCGTTCCTTCACATGCTCTGGTAGCATCCGATGTGACATCCATTTCTCCGTGTCTCTCTTTTTCTCCTCCATTTCATCTACTCTAATCGTAGTTGATTGCAAGTACTTCTGTTTATCACACCACCAAAAGAATTAGTATAGTATTTTACAAGATGAAGATATCTAGTTTCTTGAGGTATGAGTATAATTAATTAATTACCTGAACGTTTCCAATGAGCACAGCAAACAAGAGTAGACCAGAGACACATATGATGATTGCAAAAACAATCTCACCTACAGAGTTACTTGTCTCCAAGTTTTGTCCTAAAGCACTGTTTAAAGAGCTGGTTAGAAGCTAATAAGATCTTTAAGGTCGGTCGGTCAAAACATAGAGTTGAAATCATGTATACAAACCTAAGATTTCGAAGACCCCACCAAAAGCAATAAAAGAACTTCCTTGGAAAATCTCTCGACTCTACCACCCTAGACTTCAATGCATTAATGTACACACCAAAGTTGAACACTGTAGAGTTTGTGATTTCATCAGGTTCGATTAACAGACATGAAGTGTTGAGAAAAAGAGCATTGTCTCCACCGCCTCGTCTACTACAATACTGATTATTGAGATTGCATCCAGGTTTATTAGCACACACGTCACGCCAACATTTGTCTCTCGTTTCTACAGCAATCAAGTACCAGAACGCTCCAAACACCTGACCATCCATCAAAGTTTCCACTTACACAAAGTAACAACTAAAAACATAATTTTAGCAGGAGCAAAGAGCAAAGAATTACATGACTCGAGAGCAAGTATATGAAAAGGTTTAAAGCAGCTCCTATCCACTTTGTTTCAGCGACCGTACCAGAATCTCTAGTCACTTCTTTAAAAACAGGATAGATACGGATGCTTCTCGGTATATATTGACAGAACATAACCCATTTAAGTATCTCCTTTGTCACCAGTGAGCCAGTTTGTTGCTTTCTTTGAATGAGAACAAGAACCACCACCTGCAAAGATCTCTCTAATCAACAAAACTATAGTATAATTTGTGACAAAGGAAGAGAGAGAACAACACACTACACACCTGAGGAATTGGAAGAACAGAAACAATGTCAACAATCAAGTAAAAGAGGGGAAGTCTTTCCCTTACAGGATCAGAATGCACGACAATCTCTCCTCGTAAAGATATTTGATAACGAGGAGCAATGAGTCCGGTCAGAAGATGAAAAATGATGTGAATCACATAGAATGTGTCAATAAAAGTACGAAGAACACAAATTGCTACTCCAAGCTTCTTGTCCAAAGTAAAACAGAATCTTTGAGAATCAATCACAGGGATAAAGAAAAACAGAGGATCAATAGCTAAAGCAACCACACAAACAAACAGAACAGTCTTTATCCAGTTTTCAAGGGTTGTCATTTTGTCGTAAACCCTCTTGAAGCTTCCTCTAACATTCTCGAGATTCCCATTTAGAGATTGAAACGTTGAAGATCTTTCGAACCTGCATCAACAAGAACATCACTACATTAACAACAAGAAATCCTCTGTTTAAAACAAAATTCAAAGAAACGACCTCAAGGATATACTCCTCGGATAATCCATCTGTGCATGAAGTTTCTTCCTTCAAGTTCACTCAGGTCGTCTCTCTAAGTCAACTCCATAGAAACCAACAATTATATTTACTAGTCTCATCTATGGTGGGGACGACAACATTTTGTTTTTTTTTCCCCACGACACACACAAAGGTACTTCTTTTATCCGATAAATTAAAGACCCATAGGTACGTTTTTTAAAAAGTTTTTAGACCGTCCACGTTCGTCATCGTAGTTGTCTTTAAATAAACAAATATTAAAAACACACTTTCTCTTCTTTTTACTCAACTTTATACCATTCTCTTTCATCCTTTTACTCAACTTTTATTAATTTTATATTTAAACACATTCATATTCTCTCTCCAAAAGTCTCTATTTATGTCTTCCTAAATACACAATCTCTCTAACAATATCTATTATCTCCTCTCTTTACTCAAATTTTATTAATTTTATATTTCAATATACCCCATTATTTCAATCAAAAACATTATTTTTCTTCCTTTTACTCAAATTTTAATAATTTTATATTTAGAGACATCAATATTGGTTTCGGATTACTTAATTAGCCCTTTTAGAATTGAGGAAATTAATTAATTAAATGGCATCTGATTTTAACTTGGTCAGTAAAAAACAAAATCGCGGTTGAGGTATCATCATGACACTCAATTGGGCTTAATTTACTAGGTTTTAAGGCCCGCTAATTGTAAAGGCTTGTTAAGCATATATGAAACGGTGCGTTTTATCGTGAAAGATGAAACGGTGCGTTTTTGGTTTTCGATGGCCGTCAGGTAGA